TGATGTGTATCAGGTGTGTCCAGACAGCAACATTGTGATGATCAACATTGGTCTGCTGTTACTAGCATTCTCCAACTCTGACGAGGAGCACTGCAGGTACTTCGCCTGCTCTTTTACCCTAAAGCACCTCGACCCTCACCTGTTTCACCCGCCTTGGATTTTTGACCCGGTGGCTCTTTTTGTTTTCAGGCCAAACACATACCATTCCAACCTGCAGGTTAGCTGGGACCTCAACACGGGTGTGTGTCGCACTGTGGGTGTTGGCGACCTCACAGAAGTCAAGGGTCAGACAAGGTGAGCCCTGCAAGCCTGTACCACATACACAGGTTCTCTCTGCCTCCTGTTTCTCGTTAGTTCAGTTGTATTGAAAGGTTTTGTCTGTCCGTCAGTGGAACCGTCTGGAGTTCGTACAGGAAATCCTGTGTGAACACGGTGATGAAGTGGCTTGTCCCCGAGAGCAGCTCCCGTTACATCAACCGCATGACCAATGAAGCTCTCCACAAGGGTGAGTATATAGACACAGAAACAGATGAACATAAATCCTCCCAAATAAATCTGTCAAAAATAAAAACTGCCAAATGTTAAGTCCTTTTTGGAGAAATGAGGCCTTAGTGAGCTGTAAGATAGAAGATCAGAATAAACAAGAGAGCCTTTGACTTTCTAGTCCCAAAAAAAATACTGCACTTTGTTTCTGTGTTTAGGACCAATCATTTGACAGCAATAGGCTTTCTGTACCCCCTGTTTAGAGACCAAAAGCACATCAAAAACATTAAAAGATGAGACTTCTCAGATGTTAAGGACCTGTGTATTTGGACTAATGTTTCTGACTGATTGAAAAGATGAATTGATTGCTTTGTTTTTTAAGTATATGGGATGAGTTTTTATGTTACCAATGATGAAATCACATTCCACCTCATCTATTAAATTACTAAGCTTAATACTAGAAGTCAACTGAGAAAAAAGTAAAGACTGATCCACTGCGCAGCTTTAATCCAAACTAATGTTACTTCCTTATAGTGAAAAAGAAATAGAGATCTGACTTCTCTTCCTTAACCCTCTCAGGCTCAAATTAAACTTTTTGTTGCTAATGCACAACCAAGTCCTGCAGTGGTACTTCTGAGTAAAAAAAACCTCATAAAATATGTATGTGGGGTAATCAGGTTGTTAGTTTTTAACTGTTGCAAATCGGCAACGCCTGCCTCCAGAGGGTTAAAAACTTTTTTATTTTTAGCTTTCATCTTTTGTATCAATAAATTAAAAAGAAAAAAAGAGAGAGTTAAGTCCCGCTCTTTTCTCACCTGCAGGCTCATCTCTGCAAGTGTTGGCAGATAGTGACCGGTGTACCTGGATTGTATTGTGAAGGAAGAAGAGATCCACGTGTCCAAACAACATAAAGAAAAGCACACAGAAGTACACGTTGACATGAGCTCACCTGCAGTATCGACCTTAATCAGAGGCTCCGTTTGTAGCACCTGTTGCTAAAGCCGAACAAAGAACCAGATGAAATACTGTAAAGGTTTTTGTGTGTTTTTTGTAATTGTGTACTGATTTGTTGTAACAACCAAAACCAAGAGCTGGACTGAACAAAGACTTCATTTTTACTTTTGTTTTTATACATTAAGGCAGTTTTATTGTCTGTGAGTGTGAGTAACTGAGTGTATGTGATATCTATACCTGTGTGATGTGCACAAGGTGGGTGTGTGAGAAATGTAACAGATTTTGCTGCTTCTGAACTCGTTTCTCATCCAGTGTGGACCAGCTCTGTCCAGCTGTGTGTAAGGCTGCAGTATTTGAAATTTGAAAAACTCTACTGCTTCACTTGATTTCCATTTTTGTTTTTTTAAACCCTCGTCAGTGGAAGCAGGAGTCACCTGCTTAGCTGGCTGCTGTCGTGCTGTATGAGTGACAGCATGGAATACAGACTGTATTCTGCTGGGATCTTTTGTTTAAATAAAATGTTCAAAAGCGTTATGAGTGTGCTGTGATCATAACTGGATACATGAAAATAATCCAACAGTCTGCAGAGAAGTTCTTGCCTGGAGGGGAAATAATTACCACAAAAGTTGTCATGTGACTTCAGCTGAAGCAGTGCTGGTTCCCTAACTAGAACCATTTATATACAAAACAGAACAGGCCCAACATTGGAACAGACGTCACACTGTCTAGTACTAAAGTTACATTATAAAGACACAAAGAGCTGGTTTGGCTCAAGGAAAACATGCACAGAGAAGAGGTAAAAGTACTCCACATGTTTAACCGATTAACATGCAAATAAAACACAAACGTGTTTTGTTTTTCTTTAAACGTCGTACAGTCTTGTCAACGTGAGAGATCTGCACGATCCATAAAGCAACCTAGTTTTGGGTCTGTTAGGGTAGTACTGGGTATTTGCAGTGAGGCTAAAAAGGTGCCATGAGCTCCTAACCGTCAGAATTTTTATTCTTTGTTACATTTTCAGTTTGGTTCGTCTGAAGCCTAAAGACCTTTTGGACTATTAGATTTTGTTCATCTCCTTCTACAGCCATAAAACAGATCTGTATAATTTGACATTTATAGTTTTTTATTTTTTTATTTCACTAGTTGAATGTATTAATAGAACAATTGTGTAGTCTAATCAATTTTAATACTACAATGTCCCAGATAATATATAATTTAAGTACAGAGAAACTTAAATTTAGGTTTATCTTTTACTGTTCATTAAATGGTCCCTGATCTACTTTTAGCTGAAGTAGACCCCCGGCCATCCATCAGGTATGACTTGTACAACCTGAGCATTAATTTGTATAAGAACCAAAGAATGAATGAGGGACACAATCAGTTCTGCAAACTCCCACCAAGTTTGCAGAGGGGCATCAGTGGCAATAGCCCCACAACATCTAGAGCAGGTCTTCTCTGAGCCCTCAGGTTCTCTTTTCCTGAGTCTCCGTTAGGTTTAAACAAGTCAAAGAAAAAAATATTATGAAAACAAAGGTGGTCATTTTTTGGGACAATTCCATTACAGCCTTTGTTTCATTTTGAGGACTCCCAAACCAAACTGCACATCCCCAAACCAACCTCCAGTTGGAAAATGTGGTTAAGAAAGAAATTCCAAGAACAACACAGGGAATGAAGGAAAAACAGTCTGGCACAAGTTTTGATAGCAATCACATCTCTTTAGTTATAACAGTGAGAATAAAGCTACAAACATTGATCACAGGTTTAAGTACAAAGGTCTTCAGAATAACAGCAAGAACCTCGTTCAGAAATGGTTCTGCAGCACAAGCAAGGGACAGAATCCACGGCACAGTTTGTATGACATCGCAGTTCGCGGTTAATTTTAATTCGAGTCAGATTTTTGTAGCCTGCTCTCACGTATATATATTTATATATAAATGTAAACATACTTTTTTTTCTCCTTTGTAATGTTCTTTGGTGACATCTTTGTAATCAGATGGTCCTGAGGGACATCCCACTACCATTATAATATTTTTTCTTTTCCCCTTAGTCCCACACTCACACATTGCTGCTGGTTGAGCGTGTGCTCTTTGAGGGGGTTAATCTTAAGTCACCATTAGGGCTGCCACGATTAGTCGACTAGTCACGATTACGTCGAC